ATGAGTGCTATTTTTCTTGGTGAGGTAGAATACATATTTTGAAGTACATGTGATTTCCCAAATGGATATTCTTAGTGCATTAACAATTGAGTAATATCCAATAATTCTGCTATAACCTCAAAATCATAACATTCCAAAACCCCAATCGTGTTTTTAAGCAATTGTTAACTTATACTAATATTTCATCTATTGAAATTCATGTACATTTACTTACCAACAGCGCTTTGCTTTCCCATCTGAGAAAGAAAATCTTGTCCTTAAAAATTAATAGAAAGGGGAAACTGATTACAAGAATCTACACATAACCCCCTCCCTGGGGACAGACAACAGAAAAGTGGGTGAAGGGAGACATTGGACAGTGTAAGACATGACAAAATAATAGTAATTTAGAAATTATCAAGGGTTCATGAGGGAGGGGGATGGGGAGGAAGGGGACAAAATGAGGAGCTGATGATACCAAGGGCTCAAGTAGAAAGCAAATGTTTTTGAGAATGATGATGGCAACAAATGTACAAATATGCTTCACACAATGGATGGATGGATGGATTGTAATAAGAGTTGTACGAGACCCCAATGAAATGATTTAAAAAAAATTAATAATAGGAAATACTAGATTATTATAATTTGTAAATTATGCTTAAAATATACCATATATACTCGAGTATAAGCCAACCCAAATATCAGCTAAGGCACCTAATTTTACCACAAAAACTGCATTAAAACTGTGCTGAAAAACTCAGCTTATACTCGAGTATATACAGTAATTATTGCTTTGGACTTATCAAAGCTAATGCAAAATATTAAAAATGTAGTTAGTTGTATACAAAGGTTTATCTGGTGGTAGTTCTGAGAATAAGGTATAATCACTCAGCAAGTATCTCTTCAATTGAAAGGACAGAAATACTTAACATCTCCCTCAAATGTTTACTGAAGGCTGCAAGATTCTTAAATGATGCTATATCAAATATTTAAACAGACATCAAAAGAAATTTCAGAATAGCCTTTGGGATCCAACAATATTGCAACTGGAATTAGTTGTAATAGTTTCATTTTGACACTTCAGACCTTCATTCCTTTCTTCCTAACAATCAAATATCACATAACAAACTATTAGAAATAAAAAGGAATATCTACATTACAACGAATGTAATCCTCTAATCAGGAGATGGTACTGATCTTGTTGTGGCTTGCTTGAGAATACTTGGTTGGGGCTATGCTTAAATATCAACTCAAAAAACCCAAATCCATTGACATGGAGTTGTTTCCGACCCATAGAAACCCTATATAGAGTTTCCAAGGCTGTCCATCTTTTACAGGAACAGATAGCCCATGAAGTCCAATGCTTACTTCATAGAAAGCATAGCAGCCCTGCTGGCATTATGCTCTCTAACACTGTACATGTTGAAATTAAAGAGTGCCATCCATAATTGAAGCAGTCTAGGGTATAAGGCCTTGGTGACAGGGAGAGAGAGTTACCTTGTACCAGAAGGTGGCCGGTTTGATTCCAGGTGGGGGCAAGTCTCACTATGAGTGAATAGGAGAGGCAGTTTTGAAGAATTATAGGAATTACTCTTTCTGGAGCCTCCATCTAAAAACATCAAAGGGCAAAAACACTGGAAATTGTAGTGATTGGTGTGTCCCTAGAATAATAAAATGTCCACAAACTTAGATCGCTACCTAACCAGCTAGGCTACTCAGGATATAAATCAGCCATCACTCATACAGACTTGCCACCAGCGAACCCCTGAAAATTCTAAAGTTAAAGAAGCTGACAGACACTTACATGTGGACCCACGAGTAATGTCATGCTCTCACGCCGTTATGTCACCTGCCTACTTGGCCAGTAAGCCATAACCCCTGGTACTCTGTGCTGAGGACACAGCTTTACTGTGTGTTTTGCATTACACAGAGGGAATCAGATCAGAGCCTTTTAGAATATTTTCATGATGACATAATTTAACATTAGATAACCACTAAATACTAATTCACTTCTGAACAATAAAAACAGAGTTGCCCAAAGTGATTTATAGATCTAATGTAATCCTGATCTAGAATCCCACACAATTCTTTTAAAAGATGGATAAACTACTCATAAACCTTATATGGAAAGGAAAGTGATCCAAGGTAAGCAAATACTCCTCAAGAAAAAGTAGGAGGTCTCATTATTTCCAGATCTCAAAACATATTATACAGTCTTCACCATAAAAACAGCCTGGTCCTGGTACAAAGGCTGACATACCGACCAATGGAATGGAATTGTGAATTGTCAGCTGATCCTTTACAAAGGGATGAAATGCATTTTAAAGGGCCAAGATCATCTCTAACAAATGGTGCTGGCAAAACATTTTCTACAAATACCCATTTTTAGAAAAGTAGATCAAGACTTGTATCTAGCACCACATACAAAAATGAAGTCAAGATGCATCAACAACTTGGCACGTATTGTTCTGTTGGGTGCCATCAAGTCGGCTCTAACCCATAGTGACCCTCTGCAGAACAGAATGAGACACTGCCTGGTCCTGTGTCATCCTCACATTGTTCCTGTGCCAGAGCCCATTGACACAGCCACTGTATTAATCCGTTTTATTGAGGCCCTTCCTCCTTTTCTTTCTAGAGGGCCTTCCTCTTCTTAAACACCTAAGTATAAAATCTACAACTAAAGAGTTCATCGATGGAAACATAGGAACAAACTTAGGAGCCTCAATACCTGGCACAAATACACTATCAAATGGAAAACACACAAGCAGCACTAGACAAACCAGCTGCTGAGGACTTCCTCAATGTGGACACTTACCTGCATCTAAAGATTCCACCAAAAGAGTTCTGAGAGAACCTACAGAATGGGGAAAAGTTTCTGGCAATGGCAGACTATATAAGTTACTAATCTCTGATATTTATATAAAATTTCAATAGCTAAACCAGAAAAAGGCAAATAATACAATTTGAAAATGAGTAGAGGACATGAACAGATACCTCACCAAAGAAGACATTTAGGTTGCTTCAAAATGTGAGAAAAAAATGTTTCCAATTATTAACCATTAAAAAGATGCAAATCAAAACATCAGTGAGATGTCATCTTAAACGTGTTAATAGCAATGTTCAAAATAACAGCAACAAATGCTGGCGAGGGTAGGGATAGACTGGCATCTCCATGAGCTGCTGATAGGGCTGTAAAATATTGCAACTACTGTGAAAATGATATGGCGTTTCCTTTAAAAAGTTGGAAACAGAAATACCACATAAATCATCAATCCTTCTACTTGGGATATAGATCCACTAGTTGATATATATATATACATATATACACACACACACACACACATATGTACACACATATATGTACACACATACACTACACACACACGAAATAAGAATGGCACTATTTATAATAGTGAGATAGTTAAAGTTTAGTGTGCCAACCTGGCCGATAAACACGTGGCATTAATTGAAGGGCAGAGAGATAAATGGCTCTGTGGGCTTCGCCTTTCTGGTTCTCTGGTCTCTTGTTCTCTGATGGTCGGACCAGTGTGTGGCTGCCTTAGCTGGCAAGGCTCACTTCCTATAGGACATCCCTGAGGAGAAGCCTCATGTACCTACCCTGATGCAAGCCTGGGTGCTGGAGAAGCCGCATGGAGACCCCTGCCAGTACTGAGATGCTTACACCGCCAGTGGATTCAAAGACTTTCTACCCACTGGCCTGTGATCTGCCTGCATTCAGTGTCACTGTGTGTGTTTCATGAGTTTGAGGAGGACTTTGTAGATCGGTGTCAGACATATGGGCTAAGTCAGACTTATGTGCTTGGACTGGACTGGGTTGGGATGCTTTCTGAATGTTCACTTACCCTATATATAAAAGTCTCTCATAAATATATGAGTTTCTGTGGATTTGTTTCTCTAGTTTACCCTGACTAACACAAATAGCAAAATGATGGACGCAACCTAAATGCCCAATAACAGAAGAATGAATAAACAAGCTATGGTACACACAATGGAATACTACAAACATTAAAGAATAACAATAATCTATCGAGCACCTCATAATATGGATGAACCTGGAGGACATTATGCTAAATGGTCTGACCATTTCAGTGATTCAAGCAGAAACCACAAGATTCCTGGGCCAGAGGAAAGGACTTTATTAATCGTCCTGACACAGCAGAAAGCATGTGTACTTGTCTTTGATCCCTTAATCCCATAGGAGTAATGAGAAGTAGACACAGGTAGAAAAAGAAGTTCCTAAGGTACGCCATACCTGTGCTTTCACCTGAAGCAAGTAAGCGGGCAACTGTAAAATGAACATCTCAGAGAGAGTCATTATCTTTATTGTCTTGGATGGAGAACTCATCTGCCTGCCCCTCTGTTGGCAGACACTGTATCTTCCAAGACTGTTCCCTGTACTAACATCCTTGAAAATACAGTCTAGAAAAAAGGCTGCAGTTGCTTCTGCTCACTTCTATTAGCAGACAAGGGAGCAATCTATGCAGAATTGTCTGTCAACATTACCCACCCTCACTTTTGTACTGTTTTGACTTCTGGTGAGTCTTCTCAGGATATACCATCCTTCACACTTACTCTGTCCAGCAGAAGTTGAATCCAAATCTATTCAATCCGCCTCATATGGAATTTAATTATGGCTGCTATCAATAAGACTTCCAAGTGGCAATATGAGGTCAACCTGCAGTGTTGACCTCAAACATACCTCCCAGGTCTCAGACCCAACCAGTGGAGCCTCTCCCCTAAATCTGGGGTGTCAAACTGGCGGACTGCGTGCCACATGCAGTCCCTGAAATAATTTTTTTTGTGGCGCACAATGCTCTGAAATAAAATGTAATGAGCGAAGTGTGTGTACAGTATTGCCTCAATCTCCCCTAAGCGCTATTTTCTTCATAACCATTTTTTTGTTTTATTTTTTTTCAGAGCACGGTGGGCCACAAAAAATCACCTTGGGGGTTGCATGCGGCCCATGGGCTGCCAGTTTGACACCCCTGCCCTAAATTATCAAGGTCTATCTTATAAAACTGGGTGGCTTTCACTTTCGGTCTCTGCACTGACTTTCCCTCATGGCCAGGGCATTAGATACTGAAGCACAGACTCAGCCATGCAAACAATGAAGCAGTCTGGGGGAATTTATCATCCTTCACAATGCTGACCACTATTAGCCTGAGTGCTTCGAGGGCCAAGGTAGCATCATTGACCACTTCGGTTAAGTCAGAGGCAAATTCTGTACCACTTTTTTTCTATGTGGATGGTTCCCACTATTGGAAGAACTTCCTGCAAGGTGTGCATAGAGAACAAATCAGGCATTCCTCCAGGAAACTCCCCAAGGAACCAAGTGGAGCTTGGAGATTTCTATGCAGTCCTCTGAGGGTTAGTGAGAAACAAGCAAGTCCAAATTATAGGTCGATAGCACAATAACCCTCTCTCAAGAATTGATACAAGTAGAAAGTGAGACTTCATTTAACATCTATACAACATTCAACTCAAAAATATCAGATTACATATTTTTCAAGTGAATGAAGAACAGTTACTACAACCATATTGGGGGTATGAAGCAAGTCTTAATAAATTTTAATAGATTCAAATTATATAAAACATATTCTTTAACCACAATGGAACTAAATTAAAAATTAGTAACAGGAAAAAACAAACTCACTGCCATTGAGTCCATTCTGACTCACAGTGACCCCATAGGACAGTGTAAAACTGCCCCTATGAGTTTCTGAGACTGTAACTCTGTACAGGAATAGAAAGTTCCATCTTTCTCCCACGGAGTGGCTGGTGGATTCGAACAGTTGACCTTGCTGATCTCAGCTCAACTTGCAACCACTATGCCACCAGGGCTCCTTCCATCCCAAAGAAACGATCCTAGAAAGAAAGATCCCTAGAAAATTCCCAAATATTAAAAAACTGAAACATACTAGTTCTAGATAATTGACCAAAAATGAACCCAAAAGGGAATTAGCCAGACTCCTTTCTTGTTGCTCCTGAAGAATACTGTTTCACCACAGATTCTGACTCAAGGAAACAACGCAAGTTATTCAAAGATTTCTCAGGGAACTACAAAGCACCTCTAGTTATTACTGAAACCCAACATCCTCTCCAGCCCAAAGAAGGTATCTCTCTTGTAACTGAGTAGAAGCCTCATTGTCTTGCTCAGTGAGAAATAGGGCAGGTTAGCAGGGACACCTGGCGATGGCTAGAAATCAGGGACATGGAGCCTCAAAGCTAGATGCATTACTCAAAACTCCATGGTTTTTTCAACAGAGAAGCGATACGCCTTTTTTTTGTCCTTGTAAAGACACAGAAGCTTATTACTAAACAGAATACAATCTACGATGTTTTATTCTTTTACTTGTAACTATATGATTGTACACCATAATTGCACCTCTCTGGATTCACTTTCTTCTCTAAAAATGGGAAGAGTCACATGTTTGAAGAAGCCTATCATAAATGAGATTAGGCCACAACAATGCTGACAAACTAAGTTCAAGCCTTTTTCCTTTACAAAATGTGTACAAAATGACTGGGGAAAAATGTTGGGTTATTTCACAAGTACATCAATAAGTTAGGAGACACATACTCCCACTTTCAGTTCATGACAATATAAGAAGGAACACAAAAACAAAACAAGCACCATCTAAAACAATTATCCTTTAAACAACTTACCTTAGCTCCACACTTTTTGATATAACCATTAAGTTTTCCAGTCTTATAAAATGGTATCTGTAAAAAAAAACCTTATAAACTAAAAGTTATAAAAATCACTTAACAAATATATGATTAAACAATGCAGTACTAACACAGTTAAACACGATACAGCAGAGAGCACAGCCTGAGTCTCCAAGCCACCTTCCTAAGCTTCTGAGCCTCAGAGAAGCAGGTGATAATCATTTCCTTCTTGAAGTGGATTCCATGGTTCCACTTCAATGGTTCCCACTCTCCATGGTTCCCAAAATCATGTAATGGTTAAAAGGTCAATACATAAATAACAGAGGAAATTAACATAGAGGAGACTCTTACACATGAAAAGAGCAAAAGGAAACCCAAAAGACCAAGCACTAATTCAGGAAATACAAATGAAAAACAAGCTATCAGTCTCCATCTGACAGATTGCCAAATATTTCCAGGCTATTAATGGCCAGAGTTTGTGAGGGTGGAAAACCAGATTCTTTCTGACACCATTTGTTAAAATACCATCTAATATACTGTTCTCAAAGAACAATTTAGCACTATCTGGATTACAATTTAAAACACGATGCCATTCCATTTATAAAAATGTGTTTTAGGAGAGTGCTAACTAAACATTTTGCAGCTTTCAAGTGTGAGTGAGAGAGATGTGTAGGCATGGAAAGTTGTTCAGTAAGGTCATTTAAAGGAGAGATAACAAGCATGTGCCAAGATGGTAGGCTCATCTATAGTAACCCCATTTTCTACTTTACATATTTCCCTATTTTTCTACAACTAACCATTATCTTTGTAAAAAAACAAAATTTTAATCAGAGGGCTACTTTCCTTTTCTTCATATTCTTGCTAAGATTAGGATACTTCTATTTACTAGAATTCTACAGTGATGCCATATTTTCTCCAAAAAGAATTTTAAGGTGAAACAGGACACAAGAGATATTACAGTATCTACTTGTTCACCAAAAACTTGTCTTCTAAAAATGTTTTAAGGATAAAATAATAAAAGATAGATGAATAGTACAGTCCTAGAAGAAAAATAAAATAACTGAAGGCTGTAGATGGCTTATCATGGCCAACAGATGTTGATTTCTCCTTCTGAACCATCTTCAATTTAAGGTAGTGGGTTAGTGATTTGGTGTGTTGATATTTCTCCCAATAATTACAGCATTTCATGAAATACTAAAAATAATACTAACCGACATCACCACCCAAAACTGGTTTAGAATTCCAGGCACAGGTGAAGTAAGAAGATCTTGGTACAGATGCAGCAATTTCCTGTAAGATAAACAGAAAGTAATGGAGTAACTTAGAGTGGCATTTATAAAGAATTTTTGCTAACATAGGCAGCAAATGTCAAGTGGAAAATGTGTTAAAAAATCACAAACACTGAGAATGATGAGGGTAACAAATGTACAAATGTGCTTTACACAACTGATGTATGTATGGATTGTGATAAGAGTTGTATGAGCCCCCAATAAAATGATTTTAAATAAATAAATAAAATACTAAAAAAAAATCACAAACACAGCAGGCCCTCCATTTATATATTTTTTAAACTTCCAGGAACTGATCAAAGTCTTAGATAATGACTATTTCCTGGTATGGAGGGTCATAAATAACTTTTTCTTTGTGTTTTTTTGATATTTTCTGATTTTGCATATGACCACGTGTTACCTTTGTGATTTTGAGAAAATGATTAATGTACATTTAATGGACCATTAAGGAGAAGGTACCTCAGGAGATAATGCTTTGAATATTAAAAGATTAAAATAAGAACCCAAGTATATATGTTTACAATTATGTAAAAATAAAGAACTTAACTTATACTCTAGTGCTGTTATTGTGTTAAAATCATGGTGCATTAATTTTTTTCTCTGCCTTGCAAATATCCCTAAGTTTTCTTTTTTTTTTTTAAGTGAGAGGAAAGAAGGGATCCAGGGTAAAGGATAGAAAACAATGCTACAGATACACTGAGAATGATTTTTAAAGATCCAACCATGATGTGACTTAAAAGGTACAAAAAAGATCAGGAATAATAAAATTCACTACTTACCATTCTATGGGGCCATTCCTATTTCTTAACTATTTGACTATTTCCAAAGCAGTGTAAAGTTAAATCTTCACAATTGCTACCAAATTATACCTTAGCAGGAAGAGTGAATTCCTGGATGAAGTGTTGGACTTGGCTGCCACCCGTACAATGAGAAGAAAAGGGTCTTAAGAAAACGGAGGACACTTTAATAATGCTCCCTTTCAGACCCCTAACATTCTTTTGTTCTTCTCCAAGAAATTCAGTCACAGATGTAACCTTTCCTGTATTCTAATAGAGCACTTCCCTGAGTGCCTCAAACAATTTAATCCCTAACGGGATTCCACATCAATCAGTTACATTTTAGGCTTAAATTTGCAATCTTTCGAATTAATTCAGGAAGATATTTTGAGATAGTTCTTGGAGACCCACTCTTCAGTAACTCATATGGACTGAAGATTTAAAAACTATTTGAGCATACTAATCTAAAATGCTTATGCCATTAAAATTGCATCCAGCTAGTTCTGAATCACTGAGATGTCAAGAAAAACAGAATGAAGCCCTTCCCAGTCTTGCATCATCCTCACGATCATTGTTTGGGCCCATGGTTGCAATGGGCTTAATCTATAGACCTCTTTTTTCTGGCCCCCTATTTCACCAGACATGATAGCCTACAACTGGGGACTACACTCTCCTGATAATGTGTCTAAAATATGTAAGATGAAGTTTCACTATCCTTTCTCCTAAGGAGCATACTGGCTGTACTTCTTCTTAGACATATTCTGGCAGTTCATTGTACAGTTAGTATTCGTCACCAACACCCTAGCTAAAAGCCATTCCTCTTTGGTCTTCCTTATTCGTTATCCAGCTCTTGCATGGCTAAGGAAATTGAAAATACCATGACTTAGGTCAGACACATAATTGTCCTCAATGTGACATTTTTACTTTTTAATACTTTAAAGAATTGCAGAAAATCTGCCCAATTAAATACATCATCTGATTTTCTGACAGCTGCTTCCAAGGGGTTTTATTTGAAAATGAAATGTAAACTGGAATTCTTGACAACTTCAGTATTCCCTTGGTTTATCATGACGTTTATTGGACCAGTTGTGAAGAGTTTTGTTTATGTTGGGCTCAGACTGCAGACTGTTGTCTTTGGTCTTCATCAGAAAGTGCTTCAAGCCTCTCTTGGCTTTCAGAAAACACAATTGTGTGATTTTGTGTGTGCATATTGCAGGCTGTTAATGAGTCTTCCTCCAAACCTGATGCTGCAAATCTCATGTAGTCTAGCTTCTTGAATTATTTTCTCAGCATGTAGACTAAGTATGATGAAATGGTGTATCCTTGACAAAGATACAGTTCCTGATTTTAAGACATTACGTTCTTAAATTTGGTTCTGTTTGAATAACTGTTATGCCTCTTGGTCTGTGTACAAGTTCTAACACAAAAACCAAATCACTGCCATTAAGTTGATTCTGACTCAGAATAACCCTATAGGACAGAATAGAACCGCCTCTGCAGATTTCCAAGACTGTAAATCTTTATGGCAGTAGATAGCTTCCTCTTTCTCCTGAGAAGCAGTGGTTGTTTCGAACTGCCAACCTTGCAGTTAGTAGCCTAAATCATATCCCACTACACCAGGGCTCCCTTGTACAGGTTCCACATAACCACCATTAAATGTTACAGAATTCTCATTTTCCGCAATGTTATCCATAGTTTATTATGATCCACATTGTCAAATGCCTTGGCACACAATAAAATTCTGGGATTTTTTTGCATTCAGCCAAGATCAATCTAACATAAGCAGTGTTCTCCTCCATTCTACATCCGCTTCTGAATCCTGCTTGAATTCCTCTGTCAATGTACCGCAGCACCCATTTTTGGATTAGCTTCAGCAAAATTTTACGTGCATGTAATATTATCTGTTACTTTTTGCATTCTGTTGTATCACCTTCCTTTGGAATGGGCATGAATAGATATCTTTGTTAATTAACCAGGTAGTTGCCTTCCAAATTCCTTGGCATAGACAAGCAAGCACTTCCAGAATTGTATCCAAACATCTCAACTGGTATTCTGTCAGTTCCTGGAATGTTCCCAGTGCCTTCCCTGCAGCTTGATTTCTTCTGTCAACCCAAGTGTTTCTTGATCATATGCTACTTCCTGAAATGACTGAACACTGATCAATTCTCTTAGCTGTAGTGATAGTGTATTTCTCCCTTCTTCCTTTGATGCTTCCTGCATCATTCCATATTTAGCTCATAGATTTTTTCCCATCACTCTTTTGGCTTGAGAACTGCCAAGCATGTTTTTCCCTTTTGGTTTTACAATTCTAGGTCTGTGCATATTTCATTATTATATTTTGTCTTTGTGACTTGCCCTTTAAAATCTTGTTTGCTCTTTTTTAACTTCATCATTCCAACACCCCTCCCCCACTGTGCTTCAGCTTATTTTGATCAAGAACAAGTTTTAGTGTCTCTTCTGAGAGGCATTTTGTTCTTTTTCTTCTGTCCTGTCCTTTTAATGGTCTCTTGCTTTCGTCATGGATGTCCTTGATATTATCCAACAATTCTTCAGGTCTTCACTCATCCATGTTAAATGTGTCAAATCTATGGTCTCTAAATTCAGGTGGAAAATATTTATAGAATTTCCCGTAGAGTCCCATAAACAATACTCAATTCAATTCACTGCTATCAAGTAGTTTTCGTTTCACCGTGACTCTATAGGGCCAGGCCAAACTGCCCCTATGGATTTCCAAGACTGTACCTCTTTACAGTAGTAGAAAGCCTCTTCTTTCTCTGAAGGAGCCACTGGCAGTTTTGAACTTCTGACCTTTCAGTTAGTAGCCCAACACTTAATCAATACACCTATAAACAATAGGTACTCAAACAACATTTGTTATTGAAAAGTTTTG